ATTATCGCAGAAATTAGCGGCATGCAGCAACAGCTGGTTTACATCGCTGTTGTTTTTTCCCAGATTGGTTGTTCTGGGTGGCCTCTGACAGATACGCTAGTGGACGCAAAAGGTCAAGTTTTTCTCTAAAATTATATGATAAAGAAAATACATTAAATCCAGGTTGTTGTTTACTAAGTTTTAATATGCGGCAAAGTAGCCTAGATTTGAGCGTGGATTCGTTTTTCGAGGCAGCTGACTTCAGAAAAATTCATATCATATCTTGCCGTGAATTGAAACTGTGAAGCTGAAGGATGAAACTGAGGCTGACTTTCAGTATGTCGATCGGTATGTATGATATTTGGACCGATTTCTTATCTCTAGTCCCAGCAAAATTTTTCGAATACTACTCGACTTGTTTTGAGGCCATAAGGAGGGACCTGAGCTGCCAAGCTGCAGACGTAGACACAGCGAAAAAATCGGCGAACTATGTCTTTTTTCACAAAGTTATGTGGAGATATATGCCTTATGTCTCCACTTCAGCATATCATGAACTGTAAAGTGTATGTTGTTTGGTGAGTAAAGTTTTAATCATCTGCTCGAATTGCAGTAACAAAAAGCAGTGAATCTTTTTTTCACTTAAGACTAGCGAAACTCTCTCCCTCTCTCCTGCTTCTCGTAATGACTGTCTCTTAGGTTTGGTATTTATTACAAACATAACCGATTTGCTGCGTTAAAAACTCAGTTTTTCAAATTTATTCCGAATTTCAAGTATTGTGAGTTTCATATTACTCTTTTATTTGCATTTATTTGTGCCTACCTTTTTTTTGTGTTTTCGAGGATTTGCCTGCACCAGTTTCTAATCTTATTGTTTCGAACAGTCTTCGCTTAGATATTAATTCAGGAGAAAGACTTTAGCAGAGAAATGTTTCATCCAGGTTTTTCATTCTAGAGAAATTTTTACTATTTAATAACAGTAAAAAAAAGACGAAGCGTATGTTATGTTCGCTAGCAGGCTGTCTCTATTGGTGAAAGCAACTGAGAAAATTGCCAGCTAGATAGGTTGGAAAAAGCAGACTATGAATTTCAGTCGAGCAAAATTACCACAAGGGCTGTTTCGAAAAACCCGTTAGGATCGCGTCGCTCAAGTTTCATTAACAGGAACGCGTCCTCAAAGCATTTCCTCTAATTTCGACGAACATTTCATTAATGTAGGTTTCAAAATGTCATTTCTTGCGATCAGAACTGGAAATGAGCCATCACCATTTGTGACGTTTGTTGATTTCACTCCAGTCTGTTTTACTTGTCGAACAGTGAGTGATAGAGGATATAGGGAATATTCGTTATCAAC